CGCAGCCCACTGAAATTTAGGTGAAATGACCTAGATAGGGGCACGTTCTCCAAGGACCCTATAAATAGGGAGATATTTCCCCATTTTGGGGACACATTCAATCATTCATTACACCTACATTCTCTCACATCAGAGAAGCACCTGAGCTTGGATTCCAAGCAGATCCCCACCTAAATTTCCGTACTCTTTATTCCCTTTCAAGTTACTAACTTGATTGTCGGAGGCGGAGCTCCTACCACCCAGAGTCTCCGTTGTTTTGCAGGTACAACTCAGTCGGATCAGACTTCGTGACGTAACTCACCCGAGGGACAAAAACACCCAAAACAACCACCTTTCCTTAGTATCAAATGACTTTGGACAAGATGTCCAAATATGACGGTTGGAAGAACCGTTTCTACCTGCTGTTTGCCCCAACTCATTGAGAGAACCAGGAGCTACGCCGGTATAAAAAAAAAAACCCGACCCACTGGGTTGCAAATGTGCCCTTCCCTGGATACTTGGGATGACTATGACGCTATCATGGAAACCATGTTTTTTAAGCTCCATCTAGAGACACTCTCAATCGGGGATGTAATAAAGGTCCCTAATAATTGGATTCTCCTGTGCGCAAGGTTTAATGATGAGGCGTTCTTATCCGCCTGTGGGCTTAGCACGATGTTTCCAAAGAGTATGTAATACCCCGTATTTTCATACGTATTTTCTAATAAATTAATTAAAAATATTTTATAAAAAGGGTATTTTAGTAAAATTTATTATTTGGAGCCAAAATAATATTTGAATTTTGGCGCTAAAAGAATTTTAAAAATTAATCATTTTTTTTGGATAAGATATATTATCCATTTATCCTATTTTAAAAACCGAATTATTTACATATTTCAGATATTTTAATTAAAAAAAATATATTTTCTTAATTATTTTATTATGGCCGAAATTTTCCAATAATTAGTTAGGATTTTCGGATTTTCCATGTATGGAAATTCTGATTTTTCTTGATTATTTATTGGTAAATAATTGATATTTAATTAATTATTTATTTATTCTATATTATTTATACAATTATTTTATTCCTTAAAAACCGAGCAAAACCTTCCTAAATATATTTATAGGAGTCTGAAAATTTGAGCTATGGTAAGCTCAATATTTTCGGCCCTATTAAATTATTTTGGGGAAATATAATTATATTGGTAAAATTATATTTTAATTATCTCCCAAAATTATTTTCCTTAATTATAATTCTCCATCTTTTTAATATCTAATCATCATATTTTCTTGCCATTCATTCTTTTTAATTATTCCCCAAGTAATTCTAATTTCCTTATTATTTTTCATGACATATATACCTTCCATATTCAAGTATACATAATCACCTTAATATCAAAACTTTCCTTAATTCTTTTACTCACTTCTCCAAGCAATCCCTTAAACCCTACTTACCATAATTCTTCCCAAATTCTCTTTCCATAATTCTTGCATGATCTAGCCTATAAATACCCCTCCATACCTCTCACATTCTTCACACCAATTCTCTACTTTTCTTCTCTTCTTTTTACATAAATCATCCCGTTTATCTTTGAAGCCGATTTTCGGGCACTTCTTTTCAGTTTTTGGGGTATTGGCATTTCACAAAATATTTATTGATTTGTTAACCTTATATTGATTAATTATGTAAAATTAGATTTTTAATGATGTTTATGAGAAACTAATTTAAAATGTTCATATAGTTGGGGGTTTTTAGTTCTTTAATTTGTTAACCTTATATTGATTAAGGTTATATTTATTTGTAGGGTGATCAAGGTTCTTGAGGTTCTTTTTGTGTGGTTTTTCTAGCAAGGATCAAGGTACGTTTAGGTGGCTAGATACCTTTGAAAGTGACTGGTTTGAATAACATGTTTTAAATGATTTGATTGGTGATTGAATTAAAATGATTTGAATTATGATTTTGAAATAAATTATGTTTGAAGGTATTTTATTTAATAAAAGTATTTTGAATGATTTATTTTTAAATCATGTTTTGAATGGTTTGGATTACTTATCGTGTTTAAATAAAGGAATTGATTTTATAAGTTTTGTTGAATTAAATTAAGGTTTTTCAAGGAAGAGTTATTAATTTTGAAAAGTTATTAATATGAGATTTTATTCTCAAGTATTTATTTGCGAGGTTTGATTTTGAATGCATGTGTAATTAAATAAAAAGGATATTTAATTATATTGGAACTATTGGATATTAAAAGGATTTGTTGAACCATTGAATTATTATTATTAATGCTTTATAAGCATGTTAGTTGTTTCGGGGTTTTCTGATGTCCTGCGGGAGAGTTACAATTCCGAGACTGGAACCGGACGCCTGTACCTGCAAAATAACGGAGACTCCTGAGAGCTCCGCCTCCAACGGTCAAGTTAGTACCTGATTAAGGAGTAATTAATACGGAAATTAAAGTAATAAGATCTCTCTAGGTGAGAGTGTTTAATGTTGGTAATCTGCTTTGTTAGCGAGATCCGCCGGTTATTAGTGTGTTCCGTAACGTTTCTGTTCTGTTCTTCAGGTGAGATTAATTGCTTCCCCCTCTTTAATGAGGATTAATTAAGTATTTATAGTCTTGAGAAGCGTGCCACTCTCTAGGTTTAGGGTAAACCTAGGGCTGACCGGGCCTCTAAACAGGATTGGGCCTTGTTGGCCGGTTTTCCCATTTGGCATGGGTGGACACGTGGCGTGTCTCAATTGGTCCGTAGAGGACGTATCTGTGATTGACACGTGGCAGGCTCCTATTGGACTACGTGAAGGACACGTGGCGGAACCTGGTTGGTCCACTTGTCAGACGGTGATTGGTGGATAAAAATCCCCTAATCATTAGTAATCCCACTATGCGGATTTTGTTTATTGATAAGGCCTAGGACTTTGTATGACCGGGTCTTTTCTCAAGAATAACCTTGTAACATAAGGAGACTAGTTTGGGGGGGGGGGGGGTGTGCACGCTTGGGTGAGGAATCGAATTAAAAGGAATTGGTTCTTAATAAAGGAAATGGTTTTATTAACTATTATTTTGAATATGAATAATTGGAATCGGTTTTTGATTAATAAGTTTTGAATTTATTGGATTAATTATTGGAATTGGTTTTAAAAGCACGTTTGCAAATAAATTGAGTTTACACTATCTTGCACTTATCGTACTTAGCATAGTTTGCTAATCCGTATTTCTTATTTGTTTTGGATCGCCCCTGTTTACCGTAATGGTAAGCAGTGTTGACTATTTTCAAGTGGAGTCATGAATGAGCATATGGGAGTCTCGGGATTTTCTTCACATAGTTTAAGAATGTTAGTCTTGTCTTTATTTTTGAGCATATATAACAATGTTACTATTTTTATAAGTATCAATAAAAGAAAGTTGAGTTTCCACTGCAAGCTTTGTTGTTGAGTTAAGTATTTTGAGTAGCCTTGCGTAATCACACGACGATAATACGCCCAATTCTATCTCTAGGGTATAATTATACGTATTATATTGGTATTACCGTAGAGGGAGATTTGGGGGTGTTACAACGTATGTCTGATATACATCTGGTGAAATGCCACTTGTACTATTGCTAGCCAATTATGATTTTGTACTAAGCATGTGTTCATTATTTTTGCAGAATAAGCTTTGAACATGGTAGCTGACGAGAAGACTCCCAAGCGGTCCTCTGCACAAATCCGGAGAGATGTGGCGGAGGCTAGAGCCGCTAAGCTGAAGGCTGAGGTAAAGAACCGTCTAGCCCCTTGATCTAATTTTCCAACAGGCATTGCCGGTTGTATATTTAATACTTCTTTAATTGCAGGGTGGAGAGTCACCTAGGTCCTTTACTAAGAACCTATTCAAACAGGGACAGGATGAGACCGTCTCCACCCCAATCAAGCCTGCAAAGTCTGCTAAAGCAGCTTCAGGTAAGACGGGCCCCAAGGGCTCTTTTGGGAGGAACCACCTTTGCATCCGGGGGAGGAATTTTACCATTAGAGGCTTTGGAGTGGGCTTTGATATGGTCCCACCCGACCTCTCTACGCCTGTGATTAGTGCAATCCAACAAGATTCTGAAGGTAAAAACAATCCCTTCGAATCTCCGCCTGAGCTGGGATGGCAGTTGCGAGTGAAATCTCACTCTCAACAGACTTCTTCGTCCGACAGCCGGCATCAAGCAGGTGCCGCCTATATAGCTCACTCACCCCCTTTCACATACGGTGCGGATCAATCCCCCCCGATGGGCGGACGTCCAGGCGCATGCCAGGTCCATGCTGGCGGCCGTCCTCAATAAGGAGAAGGATGCCATTCCAGGTGTTTTGGGTAAAATTACCCCGCCACATGGCCTAATGAGAATTGGGCACGTGTCCACCCCGTATTGGCCAAAATTGGGCCACTAGCAAAATGGCACGTAGAATCCACTGTCATCAAAAGGAATGACGGCCTTTAAAGGCCTAATTCCCCAAAAGCCGCCAAAAGTGCGGGCAGCCCACTAAATCTAGGTCAAATGACCTACGTAAGGGCACACTTTTCCAAATGACCCTATAAATAGGGAGATTTCCCCCATTTGTGGGGCAGGATTGAATTTATTACAATATCACCGACATTCTCTTACATCAGAGAAATCTCCTGATCTCGAAATGCGAGAATATCTCACTTTTACCTTTTTAACACTTCTCTAGTAGAAAAAATGCTATTTGTAACACCCTAATAGTAACTAGCGTTAAAAACGTTAGTTACTAAAACACAACTAGTAACTGGCTAAGATAATGTCAGTTACAAATAATATGACATTAGTAATTGGCCTTGTAAACGATGGTTACTAATTTAAAATTTGTGAAGGTTAGAAAATCTATTAGTAACCGGTCCATTAAGTGTTGGTTACAAATTTTGAGTCAAATAAAATTTGACTAAATATTTAGTAAGTGGCTTACAACATAGTGTGTAACAATATTTATTATTTTCTCAAAAACCTAAGTATTGTAGCTTTTTTTTCTTCTTCTTTTCACTTACGTTTTCGACTTAATGAGTACTACTCCTGTATACTCCTTTCTCTTCCAATAACTTCTCCTTTTCCTCAATAAAAATAAACGGTTGAAAGTCTCAATCAAAATTGCTTTTTGTTGATGAAGAATATGAAATTCAGCAAACGTGGGCTACATTGAGGTTAAAGGTATGTAAAATTTTGAATTAGGGTTCATCTAATGAGTTGAATTATCCCAATCTAGTTTCCATTACTCGGTGAGACTATTTATTTTAATTTATATTTTCTCCATTAATGAAGAAGAAGATCAAAACAAGCAGAAATCGGGTTGCATTTGTTTTTGCTTCGGTTGCTAATACTATACTTACTATACGCTTATCCTTAATTACCAGACTCTTAGTGTTCATCGAAGCTTCTGAATCTGAGGTCAAGAAGGCTTTCCGACGCCTTGCTTTGCATGTAATTTCTTTTGAATTCTATGATTTTTTATACAGTTTTGTGAAATTTTGTCGACTTTTTTTTTTTGTAAATGTGATTTTTGTTTAATTGAAATTCTATTTACTGTTAATCTTATTGTAGATGCCTAATTGCCAATTTTTTTTAAAATTATCTTTTTCCACCTAATTTATGTTACCTCTTCTGAGTTTATTTTTTTTTTTTCCTGTTAAATTCGTGAAAAAAATGGATTTGGTTTAATTGTTTATCTTATTAGAGATGTCTTATTTTATGAAATTTCATGGATTTGGATCTAATTTGAGAGAATTCAGCCACATATTCTTAACTGAATCAACTTTTATTTTCTGTAATTTTTTCGTTGAATTGAAAGTATCAAAATGATAATTCTGATTGGATTTTTACAATATAGTATTCAGAGTATAATCCAGATGTATGCAGAGGAGCTTTTTGCTCCATCACTGATTCTTAACAATAATCTGTGCTTAATTCAGAATAGCCTTAAACATAAAATTTACTTTGTTTTTATTAAAAACATAACTAAATTGCCAACCACATAATAAGACTGTTGAGGAAGAAGCAATGGAAGCATATTATGATCTAGATGAAGGATTTAGATAAACAGACTGATTTAGAATGGGGTTTATGGAAGGAGTATGGGTTGGGATTTTGGGAAGGTGCTAGCTAGAATTAGATCTTATTCTTCTCATATTAATCCATATATGACGAACTATACATTATGTAGTGTGTTGGTTGAAATGTATTGCTACTTGTGATTCTTTGTTTTAAGATTTCTCGGGTGAAATTGTCTGTTTCATACTCTCATGCTTTCAATAATTAAGCTTTATAATATTAATATTTTTTAGTCTATAATTAGAGTTCTTTACTCACTTAATTGTTCTAGCATCATATATCAGGCCTTTGTTTCTTCTTTTTTCTGTTTTTAATGTGCGATTCTGTGTTATATATAAAACACTGTGTTCCTCTCATTTGCAGGTCGGTCAGAAAAATTGTTTTGCAAAACTATTGAGATGTGCTGCGGTTCTTTGAGGATTTTTTTTGTTGCATTCAATTGTCAATCTTTTGAAAGATCTCTAAATTTATTTTTTTTAATTTGTGAACCTTTTTTATACTTGTGAAATGAAGGTGTTGTAGAAGAAAAACTGAAAATCTGATCCAATTTGCTTTACCATATATAATCAACATTTTGTTTGTTACCATTTTCTGTTATGTATTAATCATCTAAGTGGTTTCTAACCCAATTGGAAACCTGCCAAAGAAAAAGCAGCATATACATCTTTGAAGGATTAAGATAATGTCTTTAATTTCACCTTGAGGCAGATGACTTTTAATCATCAATGTGACTATGTGTTATAGAGTTTATTACTCCAAGGTTTTGTCAAAATAATGAAATGTGTACATGTCACATATAATGAGTTTTTTTTTTTTTTTTTTTAAATGTCAGAAAATTCATGTGCTAAGACCATTCCAAATGTCAAATTATATTTAGACATCATGAAATTTCTGAACTCAAATGCAGGCAGCCGGACTTTGAAAAGTCGGCTATAGGAAAAGTTGTCCGCGCATAAGCAACAAAAGAAAAGCAGTGTGAAAACACTAATAAGGGTGAACCAACTCTAAAGGTAAAATATTCCCTCCGTTTATAAATACTTGCTCCATTTTTCCATGTGCGGAGTTTTAGGAGAAATTATAAAAAGTAATAAAAATATGGAGGTAGTTTATCAAAAGGCGAAGCTACTATTCTATTCCGGAGCTAAAATGATGCTTTAATTATAATGAACACAAAGTAAGGATTTTTTGCTTGCTCGATTGGGTTGTATCTTGATTTAAAGTTTGATTTACCTTGGTTTTCTTTTATTATTGGTTTGATATTGAGATTCACAAAATATTTTTGTCATTTAAAGAGATATATGGGTGGTAGTTAATCATCAATACCATTAATGGAGTAGCCTTTTTCTTCAATTAACTTTGAGGAGATCTCCTTTTCTTGTTAATTTAGTCACAATAGGGTGGTTGATGTTTCTCTTCTGTCTTATTTTTCAGATTGTATAATTGGTTATTTCATCTCTTCTAGTTGTACCTGTGGCCATATCAAAAGACAAATGATACTTATTGAACCAAGTCTTGGGGCTGTTATTGCAATAGGCCTTGCGGCTAACCATCTAAAAGCAGTAAATTTTTCCTCACTCCTAATGAATATAGCCAGATATACATCCTCACAGCTTGGAATTTATGTGAATATACAATATTAAAATGTTATATATGTGGCTACAATTGGAATTTGACTTTATATCTCTACATGCATGATTTTGGTTAACAAACTGATCTTTGGTTGATGTAAGTGTATATACAGAAGGTTTAGGGGAAATATAATGGCCAACCTTCCCCCTTCTTTTGCTTATGCTGGTTTGAGTTCTAATCCTAATATAAATTGGAACCCCTTCCTCCTCTCAAAGTAATGTTCATCTTCTTTTGTATATAGCAACATAAGATTTTTTTGTTTCTTATCTTTTACTCTTTCATAAAATATTGTAGGCCACTCTAAACTTGCATGCTTTCTTGTTTGCTAAATATTGCCAAGTATAACATAATAATGCAATTGTATCAATATTCTGTTTGAATAGTTTGCTTACTAGAAAAGTGTTCCCTTGCGACTTTATGTATATTGTATAGCCTTTATTCCTCTAATGATGTATCCTTGAGTATAACCGAGTATAAGCGTTGTATTTTTTGTGGGGTTGTTTTATTGCTCTCCCCTCAACTATAAAAGCAATTATATGTATGTGACAGTTTAGTCTGATACAATTATATGTATATGATAGCTAGTTTAGTCATAACATAGTTTTAGTGAAATTAATGGTTTTGATTTTTGTATTGAATTTATTTGTCACTAGTTTTGTCTAAAAAGTGACTTAAGTTTTTCTTGTGAGTTTTGATGCTTATTTTCTTTTATATCCCCTCACTTTGATGCATTGACCATGTTAGAAGAGTTCACTTGGTCACTTTTTAATTTTGGCTTTTTTTTATGTATAATTTTCTTTCCCATGCAGAATTTTGTCGCAATATCAAGTGCTCAGTGTGAACTATTGTTATCCCATACAAAATAGTCTAATTTGTGAAGCAGGGCAAAGTAGACAAAAACGTCAAAATTTGAAGGTTGACCATTGTATCAATTAACTAACTAGCTTATTTTAGTTATAGAGTATTATTTATTGTGAATTGTGAGAGAAATATTTGTAATTTACAAGTACATCAATTCAATGTAATTGATAAGGTGTCGCTTAAAGTTGGTCTTATATTGGTCACATTAATAGTTATTGTATTTTATGAAAGTTTATTGACAATTAATGGTCTTTACATTATAAAAATATAAATATAGTGTACGGGTGGTGGCAGTACAGGAATGAATTTCCTATTGCTACCATTTTTTTTTATAATAAACACTTTGTAACTGGCGTTAGGCTATGCCAATTACAAATAATACTTTATTTGTAATCGGCATAACTTAACGCCAGTTACAAATAGTATGCTTTCTAACTTGGAAAATAGCTTATTTGTAACCGGCATTAGGTTGAGCCAGTTACGAATAGTACATTATTTGTAACTAACATTAGTCGGTTACGAATAATTTTCACTAGTTGTAACGGTGGCATTCGCAACAAACAATGCCAGTTACAAAAAGTCAATTTTGCCAGTTACAAATAGCATTTTTTCTATTAGTGCTTCTTACTTACTCCATCGCGTTCTAACTTGATTTATCGGAGGTGGATCTCCAACCACCCGGAGTCTGTTGTTTTGCAAGTACAGGCGCTTCTGAACCAATCTTCGAGTCGTGACTCTCCCGAGGGACGAAAACACCCAAAACATTTGGCGCCGTCTGTGAGGATAATACCTCAAAGATGGTTCAAAAGTCTGTACCACCTCCTGACATCACTATTAATCAGCAAGAGGTATTCATTGACCATGAGGATGAAGATCCTCATGTAGAGACATACATAGAGAATGATGGCTCTCTCATCACATAGCGCATCCGTCCTAAAGATACTTTGGAACGGGGTGCAAGCTAGGCGGGTACAAGCAGGCCCACTGGCCAGCCGGAAGGGGAAACCCAAGCGGCAAATAAATCCGCCCCAGTTAACCGGGACGAACTCATGAAATTCATGACTAGTTTTAAGGGTGAAATTAAGGATCTGATCACCAAAAGCAAGGCTAGCCCAAGTAAGGGTCAGTCAGCAAGGAAGACTCCTCTAGAGAGGAGGAAGCTCGTCAGGCAACCAACTTCGCATCCAAAGGACAAAGCAGTCGGGACCCTTGACTAGTCCAAAATTCTTATGCCCCAGAAGAATACAAGAAACCCTCGCTGGGGTGAACAACCGGTGGGAAACAAAAAATCTACTCCTGACGCCCGGGAAATCATCACCCGCAGGTGAAGTTAGGAACTGTCTAAGTCAGCCTCTCCTTGAGCTTTCCATACACCTTCAAGAATACATCAGCACAGAATGTTCAATCCTTGCATGAGAGCCATACAGGCGGTAATACCGTCCACTTTGGCCCTCAGATGATTGGGAACGCACCGTACGTACCTCGTATGGTCTACAGCCCGTATTCTCCTCACTTCATGTAGCCGGCCCTCTATGGGGGTCTGGCGGCATTTAATGTCCAAGATTTGGACTGGAAACTCCGACTGCTCAAACATGGTGAACAAACTTCTGCGTTCACTAAGGAGATAACCGAAGCCGCACAGCTGGCCAAGGTTAAGAATGTGTTGGTGGGTGCTTATGATGGTACCACTAACCTAGAGGACCACCTCATGACCAAGGATGCCATGTGGTGCCGGTACTTCCCGGCTACATTGAAGGGCATCGCCCAACAATTGTTTGGCAACTTGCCAGTCGGGCGCATTGATAGCTTTAGGAAGTTGCCTTCCTATTTGCCTCCAAATTCTCAATGAACATCCCAGCCAAGAAAACCAGTCTCAATCTAAGCACCATTCGGCAAGGAGACAAAGAGGGGCTCCTCTCCTACGTTAAGCGGTTCAACCTGGTAAGAATCCAAATCCAATAGCTGTCTAACGAGGTAGCCTATACAGACTTCTTCAAGGGTTTTAAGGACGGGTCGACTTTTAAGTTCGACCTTGTCCGAAAGGGGGTTTTCACCCTTTAAGAGGCGTTGATAAAGGCGGAGAGCTTTATCTAAGCTACCGACCTTGCTCGTCCAGTCATCAGTTGGACTCCAAGAGGTCTGACAAGCAAAAAGAGAGTCGGTCTGCTAAGCCAGCTCAGAAAGCTGAAGAGAGCAAAAAGAGAAAAGAAGTTTGGGCGGTTGAGGATCTTGATCAGCTGTCCAAGAAGAAAAAGGAAGAATTCAAATCGTACATCTCGCGGTATGAATTCAATAAAGACTGCTACACCATCTTTATAGAGGTGAAGGATCGACTGACCATTGAGAAGCCAAATGCTATGAAGAGTTTTGTTCAGTCGTGGAACAAGAATAAATTCTGCCACTTCCATCAAGAAGTGGGCCATGACACCAACGACTGCTATAGTCTCAAGCGGACGTTGGACCGACTGGCGGACAAGGGCTTGCTGAAGTCTTATGTCTTGAAGTCCAAAGAGACTTCTAAGACGAATCCAGGGCAGTCGTCAAAAACTTTCCAGCCTACTAGTAGCTCGGATAACGACAAGGATCCAGTCTACTCTATAGCAAGCGGATTCGCAAGTGGTGGCCCGACCATCCGGGGCACCAAGGATCATCTGAAAAGGATGATCCATTCAGTCGATGATGGACATGCGTCCTCCAGTGGAACATTCCCATACGTTCTCATCACTGAAAAGGATCGAGGCAATGTTTGTCGACCGCATGACGACCCATTCGTCATTGAATGAAAGGTCGCCAACCAGCTGGTTGGCCGGATCCTCTTAGACACGTGTAGCTCCTCTGATCTTAACAGCTACAAGTGTCTGCCCCGGCTTAATTACAAGCGGGATGGCCTGTGCGACGTCTTCCATCCATTAGTTGGCTTTAAGGGAGGGGTCGTGCACCCGGTTGGACAAATTGAGATTCCATCCGGCTGGGGGAGATGGGATAAGGGCGACACATGGTCGTCCGTTTCCTGGTGGTTAAAGAGCTAACCGCCTACAACATCATTCTTGGCCGACCAACTCTGAACGAGTGCAAGGCCGTCATCATTCAAGCTCTCATGCTTCTTAAGTATGAAAGGGACGATGAAACTGTTGGCTCCATTAATGGGGATCAGAAGACGGAAAGGGAGTACTATCTGATTAGGGTATTTTTATCCACCAATCACCGTCTGACAAGTGGACCAACCAGGTTCCGCCACGTGTCCTTCACGTAGTCCAATAGGAGCCTGCCACGTGTCAATCACAGATACGTCCTCTACGGACCAATTGAGACACGCCACGTGTCCACCCATGCCAAATGGGAAAACCGGCCAACAAGGCCCAATCCTGTTTAGAGGCCCAGTCAGCCCTAGGTTTACCCTAAACCTAGAGAGTGGCACGCTTCTCAAGACTATAAATACTTAATTAATCCTCATTAAAGAGGGGGAGGCAATTAATCTCACCTAAAGAACAGAACAGAAACGTTACGGAACACACTAATAACCGGCGGATCTCGCTAACAAAGCAGATTACCAACATTAAACACTCTCACCTAGAGAGATCTTATTACTTTAATTTCCGTATTAATTACTCCTTAATCAGGTACTAACTTGACCGTTGGAGGCGGAGCTCTCAGGAGTCTCCGTTATTTTGCAGGTACAGGCGTCCGGTTCCAGTCTCGGAATTGTAACTCTCCCGCAGGACATCAGAAAACCCCGAAACATTTGGCGCCGTCTGTGGGGAGAGTACTTCAGAGATGGCATCCAAGTCTGTACCGACTCCTGAAGAGAGGCGTCCCCTAAACGACCCTCAAGTTCAGTCGGACCATGACACCGAAAGTGAATTTGAAGTTGAAACTCATACAGCTCCAGACGGGACCCTAAGGGCCCGACGTACCCGTCATATCGAAAGGAGGGAACGGGAGCATCTTCAAAAAGGAAGCGGGCCAGCAGGCGCACCGCCTGCTCGGCAACAGCCGACTGATGGGTCTGCTCCCATCACAAGAAACGAACTCATGATCTTCATGAGGGACTTCAAGGGAGAGATTCAAGAGTTGATCAACAAGAAGCCGCCTGCTTCAGTCAAGGAGCAGTCGGCCAAGAAACCTTCCACTTCACTGAAGAGGAAGCCAGTTCAAGGGCGAGAGGCGACTCCTCATCCTAAATCTAGGAAGCGGGAGCCACCTGCCCTTGATTTCACAAAATTCCGTTATCCTACAGGAAATAGGAAACCGGTTCGTCATATTCAGGCGGACGGGTCAAAGCAAACGTTCACAGATGCTCGGCTACTGCTAGAGCAGAAGAAGAGTGACCGATTGTCAGAGTCGGCTTCTACTTCAGACTTTCAAGACAGTTTGCGAAATGCCTCGATGAGGCATACTCAGTCGTACCATGAGAGTCAGTCAGGCGGCACCTCCCGTCAGTCCGGCTTTCATAGTGCCCAGGCGGTACCCAACTTACCATTTGTGCCGCAACAACAGTATTTTATGCAGCCACCTCCATTTGGTGGACCTGCAGCAAAAAACGTCCAACCTATGGACTGGCAGCTACGGTTGCTTAGACTTGGTGAACAGCCGTCGGCCTTCTCCAAGGAAATTACTGAAGCTGCTCAGCCGGCCAAAGTGAAAAATGTACTAGTAGGCGCCTATGACGGCACTACTAACCCAGAAGACCATCTGATGGCATTCACCAACCTGATGTACCTTCAAGGGTTGGATGATCCCACTTGGTGTAAGTGTTTCCCAGCGACTCTCAAAGGAATCGCACAGCAATGGTTCGGCAACCTGCCGACTGGTTGTGTAAATAGCTTCAGGACGCTTGCTTACTTATTTGCCTCCAACTTCGCCATGAACATCCCTGCGAAGAAAACGACCCTGGATTTGGGAACAATTCAGCAGGGCGAGAAGGAGGGGCTTCGTTCTTACATCAGGCGGTTTAACCTGATGAGAATACAGATTCAAGGGTTACCGGATGAGGTAGCTTATACCGACTTTTTTAGAGGTCTCAAAGACGGGTCTACCTTCAAATTTGATTTGGTTCGAAAAAGGGTGGCGACTCTTCAAGAGGCCTTGATTAAAGCAGAAGCCTATATACAGGCGACTGATCTGTGTACGAGAAAACAGTCGGATGGGAAAAGGTTCGACAAAAGAGAAGGACGACAGAAACAGTCGTCAAACAAAGATGAGAAAAGAAAAGAGGTCTGGGCGGCTGATTC